TCCTTCCTTCCTTCCTTCCTTCCTTCCTTCCTTCCTTCCTTCCTTCCCTCCCTCCCTCCCTTCTCCCCGCCCTCCCTCCCTTCTTTCTTTGTTAAAATGCAGGTTCTCAAGTCCCATTCTAGAAGATTCTGATTTAAAAGAACGATTTTTGAACTTTTGAGTGGTCCCTGAAATAGTTTTTTGGGGAGGTGGGAATGGGGAGATGGGGACTGGCCTCAAAAAAAGGAAAGAGACTCCCAGTGATTGCTGTCACATCTGCTTTCCTCCCTAGGACCTTCCCATTCCAGTGCTGTGCCCGACAGCGTGGGAGGCTCCCAGGGTGCACATGCTGCTTCTGCACAGAGCTGATAGGGGCTTACTTTGCAGTAGTGTTCAGAACTAAATATCAGACCATCCCTGGATTTGTGGAGAAGGTGCCATGCCCTCAGGGTAGAGCCTGCATTTCATTCCCACTCTTCCTGCTCTCGAGTGTGAGATGCTCCACCTTTTGTGAGGTGCTCCACCTTTTGTGAGGTGCTCCACCTTTTGGACTGCACATAGGAGTGGACTCATGCTGTCTAACTCGTCTGGCAACGTTGGAAGATATGGGGAAGGACATCTAAAGATTGGTTCAAGAATTATGTATCATCTGCTAACTCCTCTGGGGAAGTGTGTACAGTATGGGAAAGATGGACAGCCCTCCAGAGTGTGTCTCTGCTCCCTACCCTTCACCTTTTCCATGGCTGTGGAGCTGGGCACAGGGGGAGGCTAGCGATAAACCACACTAAGTATTTCCAACTTCAGCAGTGTTAGAATCACCTAAGGTTTGCTCAAACACAGATTATGGGAGTTCATTCCCAGACCCCTGGATGACGTGGGTCTGGGGTGGGGTTGCACGCATCCCAATAGACACATGGCTGCTAACTCACTGATTCTCCCCAATTCAGCTTTAGCCTCCTCCTGGGCCAGGGTTCTCAGGACTTTTTCCTCACAGAAATGCTAATACTGAAGTGTTCCCTCCTCCCCTCAGCTGGATAATATCTGTTTTCTTGGATTCGCCCATCATGTTCATCCCAGCTGGAGACCCAAGCTGAGAACAGCTGTTCCACCTAAAGCCAAAGTTCACTTGGCTTTGGCAGGGTCATCCCAGGCCAGGAGGTGGATGGATGAGCAGGAAGGGTGGGAAGATAATAGGATGAGAAGAGAAGAAGCAAGAAGCTGTTTTGTTTTTCTTTCCCCAGTTTCCTCCCACATTCCAACCCACCCCTACTTTTCAGGACCTTTTCTCTTGATGACTCTCTTGACTCAGGAATGGAATTCTAAGTGTCTGGGTGTGCAGTAGAAGTTAGTTAGGTTTGCTTTCTAGTAAGATGCTGATTAAACACCAACTAAACACTCTTTATATATTTATTATTTGTGGGAATATGTGTACGGGTGCCCATGTGTGTCACTGTACACCTGTGGAGGTCAGAGGACAACTTACAGGAGTAGATCTTCTCCTTCTACCGTGTGGGTCCTGGGGGCTAGAACATGGGTCCTCAGACATGGTAGCAGGTACTTTTACCTATTGAGCCATCTCTCTGGTCCTCTGTAGAATGTTTTCTTCTGTGATGATCACTAGCCTGGCAGTTGTGATAACTTTAGGTAACATTCAGCGTTTGTTGGACCACTTAGGCCTGCCTTGAGGAAGCCACGATGAGCCTAACCTTTGGCATCTGTTGGGTGACCTGCTGAGAAAGGCTGGGCTGGGGAGAAACAGGCCTGGCTTGGAGTTGCCTTTGTTTTAAATCATGAAACCTAATGATTAACAAACATCAAGGGTTCTGGAGACAACAGGAGTAACTTCAGACCCAGATTTACTCTTTAATGCCTGTGTGCTTGCAGGGGTAGGGATGGAAGTCTTTATCTATTTTTGTGTGGGAATCTGGCCTTCACTTTGTATCTTGTTCCCTTGGGAACCTGATACAGGGAGCATGTCAACTATATGTCAGCAGTGTTTGCTCATGATAAAAAAAAATGACCAGTGATTAAAAATGAGCAGACAGACCTAGTCATATCTGGTCCCAGACCATTCAGTGTGTCCTTGAGTACAGTGACTCTTTTCACTGGTCCATCCTTTATGGGGACCTTGGAAAGTATGGCCAGAGAGTTGTGGTCCAGGGAAGTGTTCCGCCAGAGAGATTATTGTACTCAGTTTTCATTGCTCCTTGGTCAAGACCTTGAGGACAAAAGAGAAACAGCATCTAGATGCCTTTGGGAGCTGAGGCTCTGTGGACTGGTTCTATTGAAGATAAACTCCCAAGGCAGCCCTGCTGAAGCTGTGTGTCCTATCTTAGACCCTTCTGCACAAATTGAATCAAAAAGCGTAAACAGGTATTCCATAAAGCATATTAGGGGACTAGGGTTTTTTTGTTTGTTTGGTTTTGTTTGTCTGTCTGTGTGTTTGTTTGTTTTTTGAGGCTCACAAGACTACCACAAGCACACTTCACATTCAATTTGTGGAGAAGGGTCTAAGACAGACCTTATTCTTTTGAAGCCTAGGCTCTGACTGAAACCTGGAGCTTATCAGTTTTGCTAGGCTGGATGGCCATTGAACACCAAGATTCGCTTGTCTTTGTCCTTCTCCAAAGCTCAGGGGTTACGGACTCCTGGCTCTGTGCATGTAATCTAGGGGTCCAAACTCAGGTCTTTAGTGGCAGAAACTTTACCAACTGAGCCTCCTCCCAAGTACCTTATCCTCTGTTTCTACCAGTTATTTCTACGTACTCCATGATTTGTTGGATAATCTGATGAAGGATATCAACTCTATGTTCATTGGGATGTGGTTTAATTTCACACAATAGACCTATAGGAATGGAGAGAGGAGAGAAACAACCAGCAGGTGGAAGGGTGCCAAGGCTCCAAGGTCTGGATGCTCATAGAGGAAGTGGGCTTATCAGGGGAAGGTGGAGAACGCCCACTGATGTTTAAACCCCGCAGGTCTAGACAAAGCCAAAAGGAGGAATGTGAATGGTTCTGACAGAGTGGTCCTGCACAGAGTCATTCCCAGGTCAGGCTAAGGGGATCGTGGTGTAATGGTATGTGGCTAAGAAAGGGTTACAATGGCTACTCTGAATTGTTTTCAGGCATTTCTTTCAGAAGAATCAGAAAGTTGCCTCATATATCCCTGAATTTTTCTCCTCTGAGGACATCACACAGAGTGGCAGTGGGGATGAAGATGTCTTCCCGAGCTAGAGGACTTCCATGATGGTTGCAGGGAGGAGGGAGATGTTACCCCATGGTCTGGGCAGATCTTAATGTGTTTCACCCTTCCTCCTTCAGGTCTGAATGCTGGTGCTTTCTATGCCTTATCCACTCTGCTGAACCGCATGGTGATCTTGCAGTACCCGGTAAGGCAGATTCCCAAGCATGATGTGCAGAGAGATACTATCTGTCTCTGAAGAGGCTGGGTAGCAGTCTACTCTTGGGTCTAGCTACTTCTAGGTAGCCTCCAATGGGGGTGTGCTTATGGGATTTGGAGGTAGATGGCCCTAGGTCTCAATTTAAGTTTTGGTGGTTTTAAAATATGTCACACTAAATGATGTCATATTATGACAAGCTTGTTATCATCTTAGACTTCTCTGTCTTCTGCAAAGGACATATAACTACTCTCTCTCTATACTCTCTCTATATACTCTCCCCCTCCCCCTTCTCCTGCCCCTCCCCTTCCCCCTCTCCCTCTCTCTCTGAGGCAGAATTCCATTATACAGCCTTGGCTAGCCTGAAACTTACAGAAACCTGCCTGCTTCTTTCTCGTGAGTGTAGGGACTAAAGGCAGAGACCACTTTGCCCAGCTACAATTACCTCTTGTAATGCTATTTTTTTTAAGAGTAGAGAATATGAGCTATAGAGAGGTGAGAACAGTAGCAATTCTTCCAGGGGACCTGGGCTCAGAACTCAGAACTCACACAGTGGCTCACAGCAGATTGGAGCTTCAGTTCCAGGGGATTAGAAACCTTTTACTGGCCTCTTGAAACCACTGGGCATGGATGTGGTATATATGCACACATGTAGGCAAAATACCCAAACATATAAAATAGAATAAAGAATTTTATATAAAAAAGGCTAGAGAATAAGTAGCAACACTTGGATATATGTATGGTCATATAATATTTATTATATGGGAAATGTGTTGTTTTCTTTTTAATAAATCTGAATTTTATTTTTTTAATTATGTATTTATTTTATTTATATGAGTACACCATCACTGTCTTCAGATACCAGAAGAAGACATCAGACCCCATTACAGATGGTTGTGAGACACCATGTGGATGCTGGGAATTGAACTCAGGACCTCTGGAAGAGCAGTCAGTGCTCTTAACCACTGAGCCATCTCTTTAGCCCCTATGGGAAATTTTTAATTTTGAACTCCTATATGTTCAATTAAAGTGTTTTTTTTCTATTTTTTATTTATTTTTATGTGTATGGTATTTTGCCTGCAAGAATATCTATGTACCATATGTGTCTGTAATGTCTACATAGACTAGAAGAGGATACTGTATCCCCAGAGACTGGAGTTACAGAGAGGTTTGAGCTTCTATGTAGGTTCTGGGAATTGAACCTGTGCCTCTGAGAAGAGTACCCAGCTCTTCCCAGCCCATAACTGCTAAGTCATCTCTCTAGCCCCAGCATTTTATTTCTAATTAATTAATTAATTAATTAATTTTTATTTGTTTGTTTGATGCAAGGTCTTTTTATGTAGACCTGGCTGTCCTGGAACCAATTAAAGCATTTAAGAAAAACGTTGTGCTGGAGAGATGGCTCAGAGGTTAAGAGCATGGCGGCTCTTCTAGAGGTCCTGAGTTCAATTCCCAGTAACCACATGGTGGCTCATAACTACCTATAATGAGATCTAAATAAATAAATCTTAAAGAAAAATGTTTCCAGAACCAGTGAGGCTGGATGTTGGGCAAGTGAAATTGAGTTTTAGAAAGTCAGGCACACCAAGGCCGTGGATGTCACACTTGCAGGAGTGAAAAGCTACCATTGTTAGGTCTAAGGTCATATCCCAGCTCTGTCTTTAAAAAATGTATGCCTGTGACCTTGGGCTAGCAGGTTAATCTCACTGTGCATCTGTTTCATATCATCAAACGGGTACAGACTGACTCCTAATTATAAGGTGGGGATTATGAGAATTAAACAATAATGTCAACATTGTTGTTATATATTATATCAATATTACATACCACATATAATATAATAATATCATATATTTTTATTATAAGGACTGTCAAACATGTTTTAACATTGCAAAATGACATTGTCATCTACAAATATGTTGCGTCACATTCATAGCTATCCTGAGATACATGGCCATAGGTTAGACCCATCTGAAAAATAGGATGAAATTAATATATGTGTTCCAGGAAATTTTTCCCTCTATAAAAATGGAAACAATGATACATAAGATAGAATTGCTGTAAGGATTAATTTAAAAATATTTGGGCAAGTGAGCATGGTGGTGTACTTCATTAATCTCAGTACTTGGGAGGCAGAGGCAGAGGCAGGTGGTTCTTTGTGAGTTCAAGGCCAACCTAGTCTACTTAGCAAGTTCCAGGTCAGATGGGGTTATATAGTAAAATCCTATTTCAAAAAAATAAATTAGAAAATTATATATATAATATATATATATGTATGTTTGATTCTCCAGGATACATTTAAAATATATAAATTATATATATATAATTTATATATTTATATATATAAATTATATATATAATTTTCTAATTTAGTGTGTGTGTGTGTGTGTGTGTGTGTGTATGCCTGTAAGTGGTTTTAAGGACAAAATTTGGCTGATCATGTTATCCCAGCATAAAGGGCCATAGATGCACAGCTGTGGTATTATTGTTGTTAAGAACAACTATTCTAGAATTTTTTTGAGGTTGTTATTGTAGGGGCCATCTTGTCCTGGTATTTGATAAATACTGGCCACCTTGGGGTGGTCTCTGTGGTCTCCCCAGGGGGAAGAAGTGAATGCTGGAAGAATCGGTCTGACCATCGTCATAGCAGGGATGTTTGGAGCTATGATTTCAGGCATCTGGCTGGATAAATCCAAAGCCTACAAGTGAGTGACTCATTTTTGATCAAGAACTGGGAGCCCTTGCTTTTGAAATGACATGAGTGTTAGGAACACAGCTAGTTAGCTCTGGGGCAGGGTAGCACTGGAGGTCTAATCGGTCAAACAGGCAGTTCTGACTTATTTACTCTGAGCCTCGGATTCCTCATTTACAAAGTGGAACTCTATTCACTCTGTGGGATCTTGGGAGGACTCAGAGCAGTGGACACAGAGGCTGGCTTAGTCTTCCTCCCTATCAAAAAGCCTTGTGGAAAGAAAAGAGGACAGAGAAAACAAAATGTGGGGGAATCTCAGCAGTTGGAAAGTTTGCAGAAACTCCAAAGAGCAATGAGCGGGCGCTTTCACTGACCCATGCCCTTGGCTGCTCTGGGCTAACTGAGCTCTCTGTGTTTCAGTCCAGTTTGCAGTGCATTTCATCTTGCCATTGTTTTTGTCATTTGCAAATATCATGTGCCTTGGGCCTGATTAGCCAGTATACCTCTAAGAGCTCAGAGTGATCATAAACAATTTTAGTATATGCCAACCAAGTCCTGGCCTATAAATACAAAATCCTGACATCCCACTCTCCAGATGCCAGTGTAGGAGAAGGGTCTGCTTTGTAAATGCAAGCTAGGGTTGGAGAGATGGCTCAATTGAGACGTGCTTGCCCTGAAAACATGAGAACCTAAGTGTGATCCCCAGGATACACTTAAAAAGACACACATGGTAGCATGTGCTTGTACTATCAGCTCAGGGATGTGGACGGGAAGACTTTGGCGTTTGCTGGGCATCAATTCATCCATCAGCCTTGGAGGAATTCTCCAGAGAACCAAAGGATAGTCAACCAACCTATTTCTAACTTACACCCATGTGTTGAGAATAGAACTAAGGACTTGTGTATGCTAGGCAAATACGGGCTACATTGCCAGTTCTGTCCTTCCCTTCTGGTTGTGACTCTGTGTTGCCCTCGTGCAGAGGGTGTTCAGTGAACACTAGCTGTGGCTCAGCCACCAGGACGGTGCTGCACTGGGGCAGGGAGCATTCCAGGCAGCTTTGTTGAAGCCTCCAAAGTTTCCAGTGTCTGGAGGCAAAAGACAGTGGTCAACCTGTTCTCTGCCACACAAACTCACTTCTGTAAGCCTCTGGGCAGGTCAAGTCTCACTTTGGTTGGCCTAGTCAAAGGCCAGCTGAGGCCACTCCCAGGGATGTGGCTGCCAGGCTTACTAACGATGAGGAGCCTGGCTTGGCTTAATTACTGCCGGTAAATCTTGGCTGCCTTCTTGTCTCTGCATCTGTTAGTTGCTTGTTTCGGCCAGATACAAAAGCACTGAAGGCTGGCCACCCCCCACAAGAGGACAGAAGTGTCCCTTCTTCCAGGGCCTGCCCTGCAGCAGCAGAAGGGAGGGACTGGAATGTTAGCCTGGCTGGGTCGTGGGCAGCCAGATGATTTATTTAGATGAATTAGAAAATACAGCAGAGGTCTGGGAAGCCTCTTGCTCTACGCTTAGTACAAGTGTCCAGCTGTCAATCATTCTCTTACTCTCCAAACTCCTGGATTTCTCTACTCTGGTTTGGAGGCTTGAACCTGGGAATTGAGGTCTATCTCAGGCTGGGACTAGGAATAGGTTTGTTTCTTTTAAGTAGCTACTGTATGAAGGTAGAGTTGTGGTTTAACAAACACAGCAAGAAGAAATTTTTTTGTTTGGTTTTTATTTTTCTTCCTTTCTTTCGTACTCTCTGGTGGGTTTGTAGAATCACTGAGAGTGACTCACATTCCTAAATATGCTTTCTGCAGGGTGGTGGTAATAGAGGGAGTGGGTGGAGTGAAGGGTGGAGGCCCCTTATTCTCAAAACCAGGGCAGAGTTGCATCTTCTGGAGGCTATGGCTTTGACCTCTTTGCAACATGCAACTGCATAGTAAATTACTCTTCTGATGTGTAGCTTGAGACGTTTCTAATGTTTCAAACCAAGCTTGGGTTCAGATCCTACCTTCTGCATTGACTCAGCTACTGACTGTTTGTTTGAGAAAAGGTTTTTCTGCATATCCCTAGCTGTCCTGGAACTTGCTCTGTAGACCAGGCTAGACTCAAACTCAGAAATTCACTTGCCTCTGGCTCTCGAGCACTGGGATTAAAGGCATGTGGTTCTTTGCATTCAGCTTCAGCTAGTGACTTTGAACACATAATGAACCTCTGTTTCTTCATTGGTAAAATTATGAGTGACTAAAGATTGCAGTCATAAACACATGTAAAATATGTAACAGAATATGAACACTGTTGTGGTCTAAGAGTTGCTTCACAAACCAAATGAACACCAATCTCAGACAGGAATGGTTTATTGAACATGCACCTTAATACTGGTCAGACCAGGGACAGTTCAGAATTGGGTCTGAGACTATGACAACGGACATCTTTTTGTGTCAGCATATAAAGGAAAAAAAAAAACCCACAAAACCCATGAGTTCCTCCGCAGGTGCAGGCAGTACTGCCCAGGGGTTGGCTCTGATTCCAGCCGTTTTAGACATAACAGTTCATATTGACCTTTGCTCTGATGGGTCCTACGTAAAGCCATGCTGGAGGGGTCAGATCACAACAAACTCAAATAATTATAAGTTTCATATATCATAGTGTGCTTATTGTGTCCCACTGTGTTCCTGGCTTCTGAGGAGACATATAAAGGTTTTGAGCACTCATGTCTGCGTCCTGGTGTTCATGATAGGCAGAAGGATGTGCTGAGCTAGCACCATATGCAGAGTGGTACAGGGAACAGAATGCAAGTCTGTTTGCAGGATTCAGGGCTACAAGACACTCCTGGGTGGCCAGCACTGAAAAGGGAGTGTGTGGAAGAGCCTGAGAGGGGTGAGTCTGACATCAGATCCAACACAAAGAAAAAGGCAGCAGGGAGTAGGGGACAGGTTCTTTGCCTTGGGAGTAGAGCTCGCTTAGCTCAGGATTAGAGAACATTCTCTTTCAGCTCCATTGTCTGGAGCAAAAGTAGTTCAGATGCAATATGTCAACCAGAAAAGCTGTGCAAATGAGCACAGGGAGAATGTACAGAGGGAGTCAGCAAGCCAGACTACAGGCCAGCATTACGATGGGGGTTTGATTCTCCAAATGTAGTGTTGAAAGCTTTAAGGGAGCTGGGTAGTGGTGGCTCAGGCCTTTAATCCCAGCACTTGGGAACCAAAGGCAGGTGGATCTCAGAGTTTGAGACAAGCCTGGTTTATAGAGTGAGTTCCAGGACAGTCTGGGTGACACAGAGAAATCCTATCTCAAAAAAAAAAAAAAAGAAAGAAAGGAAGGAAGGAAGGAAGGAAGGAAGGAAGAAAGAAAGAAAGAAAGAAAGAAAGAAAGAAAGAAAAAGAGGGGGGAGGAAGAAGAGGACAGGAGGAGGAGGAGGAGGCGGCTTTAAGTAGTTTTATCCATCAGTACCTTGGAGTACCTATGGAGAAGTCTGTACAGAAACAGAGCATGCAGCTAGGAGAATGACTTCAACATTGTAACACTGGTCATGGTGTAACTTTTTATCGTAAATGAAGAATTGTTGGATTAGTGTTCCTCACCTATATGGAGACACTTCTATAAAGGCAGATGTGCCAGCATTTACTCCAGAGAGCTGGAAATAGAGCAGATATTTAGCAGATCCTTGTGGAATGAACAGGTGAGCCTGCTAGGTACTGTCAGTAGAGTATATAACTCAACTCTTTTGTATTTATCCATAGGGAGACAACCCTGGTAGTGTATATCATGACTCTGGTGGGCATGGTGGTATACACATTCACCTTGAACCTGAACCATTTGTGGGTAGTATTCATTACTGCTGGCACACTGGGGTAAGTTCCACGTTTGACCTATTTAATTGGGAAATACATCCCCTGGTTCCTAGAGTGGCCTGTGGCCTAGGATACACTACATGTTCCTTTTGCTGTCTCCTCACTGGCCTCAGGAGATGTGGAAATGGTGTTGAAGCATGCCTTCAATGCCATCACTTAGGAGGCAGAGGCAGGCAGATCTCTGTGAGTTTTAGGGCAGCCTGGTCTACATGGTAAGTTACAGTTTCCTACACAGCTAGGGCTATGTAGAGAGACTGTCTCAAAAACCATAAACAAAACAAAAACTGAATCACAGGTGGCTGGGCTGTCCCGTTGCAATGGAAGCATGGCCTATGCCTTCAAGACATCTGAGATTCTAGGGACCGTTTAGTGGCTCTGAGTCTAGGGCATTAGAGCACAGGCATGCTCGGAGCTTCTGTCTCCTCATCTGAAAATGAAACCAAGTGTGGCCAACTTTGTAGGGTAAGGTTGGAAGGAATGAGAGATCCATCCCATGGTATGCAGACACAAGGGAGCATGGTGCTGGTGGGAGGAGCTGGCATCCTCAGATGTGTCAGGTGACAAAATGCACAGAGCCACAGGCATTTTGTAGGGACTTTGCTGGTCTCCACCTCTCTGCTATTTTCTCTCAGGCAGTATGAGCACGGCTATGAAAGTGTGTGAGAGGTAGATACCTGGCTCTCAGTGCTCCTTGGCCTCCTATTGGGGAGGAGATAAAGAGAACTCCAAACTCCTCCTCCTAGGTTCCAGAGATCCATGGTGATGTATGACGGAAGTCCAGGGACTTCCCCTTCTAACTCAGGACCTGTGGACCTGGGACACATATTCACAACTGAAACAGAAACACACCAGGCACTCTTGTCCCTTCCACAATTGCTAGTGTGTCATTGCTTGCTGGGGGGAAGAACATGGGAGACATTAGAGACACACTGAGCACAAGGCCTGGATGTCCGCAGAGAGCTCCCTTTTTACAAAGACCGCTGTAGAGGATGGACAGATAACCTGCTGGGAAGAGAAAAGCAGGGGAGGGAGAGGGGGAGGGAGGGAAGGAGTCTAAGCGGGAGAAGAGGGCTCCTAAATTTGTTCTGGAGGTGCTCCATTGCCTTGCTCTCTGGGTTTGGACTTCAGCTTCTTTATGACTGGCTATCTGCCCCTGGGGTTTGAGTTTGCTGTGGAGCTCACATACCCAGAATCTGAAGGCGTGTCATCTGGCCTCCTCAACGTGTCGGCACAGGTAGGATCCTGTTTTTTTCTCTGCTTCTTGCCTTGCTGTGATCCTGTAATAGTATGGCATCTTAATCTTCCCCATGGCCTACTCGATTAAGCCTTGTTCCCTGACTTCCTTATGTGTTTCCAGGTATTTGGGATCATCTTCACCATATCCCAAGGCCAGATTATTGACAACTATGGATCCGTGCCTGGGAACATCTTCCTGTGTGTGTTCCTTGCCCTTGGATCTGCTCTAACAGGTGAGTGGAGGTCTGAGAGCCAGATGAGGCTCAGGTTACTCGTGGGATGTTGGCAACTGTGTGTTGACTGATGGTTGTAATGGGTAGATGAGAGGGCTTGGCGGATCTGTTTGGGATGGGTTAGTGGCTTTTGGCATCAGATAACCCATGTTTGATGTTGACTTCCGCAGCTTATACAAGTGGACCAGGCTCTGGGGCTCCCAGTTTCCTAATTTGTATACTGAGGGTCTGTGGGTGGTGGTTAGTATGTATAAAGTTCCTTTTTAAGAAATCCTTAGGTGAATGCCAGCGTCATCATTAGCTTCTGCCTCTCAAGCACAGCAGTGCCTTGGGGTGATGATGCCAGCTCTATCCTGATGTTATTTTTTTAAAATGTATGTGAATACACAGTCCTGTTGTCTTCAGACACCCGAAGAGTACATCAGATCCTATTACAGATGGTTATGAGCCACCATGTGGTTGCTGGGAATTAACTCAGGATCTTTGGAAGTATCCTGTTTTTTCTTTGCTTCTTGCCTTGCTGTGATCCTGTAATAGTATGACATCTTAATCTTCCCCATGGCCTACTCAATTAAGCCTTGTTCCCTGCCTTCCTTATGTTTTTCCAGGTATTTGGGATCATCTTCACCATATCCCAAGGCCGGATTATTGACAACTATGGATCCGTGCCTGGGAACATCTTGATACATGATCACAAATCCCTGGAAAAACATAAAGAAGGCAGGGAACAAGGTTTTACTGAGTAGGCCATGGGGAAGATTAAGATGCCATACTATTACAGGATCTTTGAAGTATCCTGATGTTCTGATGTAGGATTGGAGTAATGGTGATCCTTAGAGAAACGAAGATTCCTTCTCTTATGTGACCTTAACCGGTGGATTTACTTGATGACTCTGCTTTGATGCTCTTCTTTTTTTTTTTTTTTTTTTTTTTTTTTTTATCTCAGCTTTCATTAAGTCGGATCTTCGGAGACAGAGGGCGAACAAGGATGTTCCTGAGACTGTGAGTGTGTGGGAGCTTGGTGTGGGTAGGATCTGAGTCTTAACCCGTTGATAAGGATGTAGTAACACAGGCGGGGCTTACAGGAGCTCCCAGAGGAACTGGTTTTTGTGGGGACTGCGTGACAAGCTCACCTCTCACAAACATGGCATCCAAAGAATTTCCTCAGTGGGTGTCCCGTATTGCTTAGAATCTTCTTCCATTTTCTTTTCTAAATTCTTCAAAAGATTTATTTTATGTGTTATTGAGTGTTTGTCTGCTTGTACATATGTGTTCCATGTGCACGCCCAGAGACCACAGAGGCCAGAAGGAAGTATCATATTTCTTGGAACTGGAATTGCAGGTGCTTTTGAGCAATCACGTAGGTGCTGGGAACCAGACATCAGTCCTCTGTAAGAGAAGACAGTTCTCTTAACCACTGAGCTGCTTCTTCATCTCCATCTTTGACTTTCAACCAGCCTCCAGTCTCCTTTTGTGGTTCTTGGAGCATTATCATTGCTATCACAAACTGCTAAACAGCGTCTCCTCTTGTGGTCCTGAACGAAGTTTTGGATCCTTGGCTTCACTGTTATAAACTTGGTGTCTGTGACTCTCGAGAGAACATAGGCATCTGGATTGACCACCCTGTGATGGTATTGGTGATAGCCTCCTCGTAGGCAGAGTTATGGGGATGGAGCCCACAGGTTGTCAGAAGACCTCTAATAAAAGGGCAAGTGAAGAAGCAGGAGCTGGTGGCAATTGGGGGTGGGGGTGGAGTGGGACCAGGGTTATGTTCTAGAATGGAAAAGTGTTTCCCATCTGCTCATGTCAGCTGGAAGCCACTTTAACCAAAATGATAGGATTAAGTCTGAGTGGGGAGCTCGGGGTAGAGTGTTTACTTAGTATTCCCAGAGCCTGCCTTCAGTCCCAGCACGGAGGAGGCAGGTTCAAGTGAGGAGAAAAGGAATTGGGAGTGTGAGGAACCAAAGTAGGATATTGGTTGTTTTACACACACACACACACACACACACACACACACACACACACACACACA